ATATATATATATACACACACGCACACACATGTATAGGATATGATGTAGTTCTATTGAGGAAAATTTTTATTTTAACATATTTTATTCCCTATACATATATAAACACACACACGCACCATGTATATCCATGACTATTTGCATGTTAACCTTAGGTGATTAGATGTATGTTTTGATGCTAATTATTGAATTGTAAAATATAGGAACTTATCAAATCATTACACTTAAGATATGAGAGTGTGTACAAAGATACTCCATAATGAGGATTTGGGTCAATTTTTGTAAAAAGCACTCCTTTGAATATGATGTGTGTGTGTGTATTGGAAGGAACTAAGGAAGTATAAAGTTCTCACCCTATACATTACCCATATTTAAAATGTCTTTTTGGTATCATTTTTTATTGACTATTTTATCTCTATAATTTTTGAAACACTTTTTATCGCACCTAATTAACTACCTAAAATCATTCACTCATTTGTTAATCATTTCCTTGTATTTAACTTCAATTAATTTTTATCATTTATTTTATTATTATTTTGTAAACAAAATATACGAAAGCAGAAAGTACCTTTTTGTAAACTAATAATAATAATAATAAAATTAAAAAAATAAAATAAAAAAAGACAAATACAAATCATCCATTAAATTAGATACTCCATAAAGATATTTTTTTATTTTTATTTTTCATCTCCAAATGTAATAAATGTAAAAAGAAGAAAAGACTAAAATTTTATATATTTTATATTAAGAGACTAAATATTTCTGTTTTAAAATAAGAGAATCAAAATTGTATATAAAAATAATAAATTAAAAATACAATATAGCCTTAAAATTTTTATAAATGAAGAATTGAGATTAAAAAAAGTAAATTAAGAAATTATGAACATAATTTGCCTTATTTCTAATTTCACTCGTTCTTGAACCCCACCACCATCACCACCACCAATTAAAGGAAGGTTCTCGCTTACTACTAATGAAGTCCGAAACGTAATGTTGGGCAAATGGGCTTTTTATTAAGCGATAGACGTTGATGGGTTTGTCCCTTCGCCATGAAATGTGTGAACGAGTGAATATTGGTTGTCATAGACAACTGGAACATTGTACCAAAGCACGTGTCAGATCTAAGATTCTCTGTTATAGTTGGGCCCACCGTCTTCGTTCACAATAACAAAAACTAGTCTAGGATTGAATTCACTATTCATTCATGACCAACTTAAAAAAATTGGCCTAATCAAAATCTAAATGGAAAAAAGGTACCTAGATAGACCCTTCTTTATTTATATATTAGACCGCGGGTTAAATTAATGTTGGGGTGAGAGTTGAAATATTTTTTTGCAAATAAAAATGTTAGAAATACTTGATTTTAGGGGCATTATGGAGAAAACAACATTGCATATCCCTTCTTGGGAAGAGATCTTCTCAAGTGAAAAAATAGATATAAAAAATTGATATTCTCATGTGTAAAGATCTAAGTCATCTAACCATTAACTTTCATTTTATAATAAAAATACATTACATAAGAATCATTCCCCATTTTCTTACAAAGAAAAACCACGCTCATGCTCCTGGAGAGTTGATAAACAATGAAACTCTTCAGCTTTGGTCATCTTGGCTAGTTTTTTCAAAAAATGACTTCTCTTCCTCTTCCAAACGATCCTTCACAGCAATAAGCTTTTCATCATCCTCCGCGACCAATATGATTAATCTTTTTTTTTTCCAGTTAGTCCATTTAACACATAAAATATTGAATGGTGAAATATTGTCTGTTCACTGTAAGCATCCTTTGTTGTAAACTAGTGATAGTATCAAAAGTCAAAACCTAAGTCACATGATAGGAAATGTTAATATTATACTCACACCGGTGAAATATTAATGAGAAGGATTAAAAAGAAGAGATGCACTGACAATCTAAAAGTTTTACATCATTAACCAAACAAATATCACCATTAGTATAACATTTTACTTGCTTATTATAAAAGTTAACAATTTATCATAAATAATAGTTTATGATTAGATGATAATGTAAAACTACTTCACACTCATTCCTGTAAAATTACAATGTCATGTAGAAATATTAATAAGTATTACAACGACAATGTCATGTTAAACCATTCCTGTGTGTGATTCTTCTTTCTTCAAGGAATTCAAAATTTCCTTGCAGACTATCTTCTTAGCTGTGTCCTTAAGAGCAGGACCTAAATACTCAAACTGGTGAATGACCCCATCAGCTTCTACCTCCATTCTATAACTAGTCACACCATCCTTGCGGGACCCGGTGTCACGTATAACTTGATAATTTCTTTTTTGGCAGAGTTCATTCAACTCTCGGATGGGATGGAGCTTCAACGTTTCAGGTGTGACGAGGGGTTCCAAAAGTGGCCTTATGCTTTCCCACACAACCTCCTCATTGTATCCTGAATCAACGAGAATCGCTCCAGCCAGAGACTCTACAATGTCTCCAAGTACCTATCAAACAATAGGAACAATCTCATGAATTTTGAAATGGTTAACACATTGTAGCTGATCATCAAAGTCACGGAATAGAAATGCGCTGCAAAACTCACAGAAAGTATATGCTAACATTACATCTTTAAATGAAGGGGACAAAGCAGCTACATGTTTAAGCATGTGTCATGATGACAGACGAAAAATGATTCCAAGGTTCTTTAACATTGGAGAAGCAGAAGATTTTGACCAAATTTATCAAAAGTGGTCTAATTCATTAGTTCAGTAACTACTCCTTCAACAGTCCATGGGTTTGGAAAACAAGGTACTGGAGTAAAACATTTAGTGAACTAATTTATCCTTCGCAAAGAGAAGGTACACCAAAATTGCATGAAAAATAGAATTGAAAACCAGAACAATGCTGCCCCCTACTAAAACTAAAAGAAAAGCAGCAAAAGGTACTAATGGCTTTTCATGTAACAACTTAAGAAAGGGAAAATTTAAAATTTGATGCAGCCATTTACCCATTTATGTTAGAATTCAACTTAAAACCAACTGCATTAAGAGAAGTTACCCAACAAATATACAAGTTGCACTCAGAGAAATGAGGCAAGTGATGTTGAGCTTCCCAACATCCCCCTCCTCCACATATGCCTGTCAGACCAAGCAATACCTATTAGAATAGGTGAAATACGAAGATGTGCTCTTGGTTCTGATGCCATGTTAGAATTCAGCTTAAAACCAATTGAAGTTAAAAGAAGTTGCCCAACAATTATATAAATCGCACTCAGAGAACTGAGGTAGACAACGTGGGACTTCCTAACAATTTATAACAGCTTTTGAAGAAAAACTCAAACCAAATAGTATTCTCTAAAAACAAACCCATAATGCAAATCATATTTCCCCCCTTCAGTTAAAAACTGTTTTCACTAAAAATTTATACACCACAATAATGAGATATTTATTTTGTTAGTTATACATTCTCAAGGATCCTCCTAAGTAAACTTGCAAGTGCAGGAGTAAGCATGCATCCACCCTAGAATTTATAGAATGGAAATCATACTTGTTAGCAAATTTTATTAAGAGAAAGAATGTTAAGAGAGAAAGTTTGAAATGTAATAAATAATGTGGGTGGAGAGAGAGAAACAAAATATGATGTTGTATACATTATTGTATAAATTACTATACGTATATCATCACTCTTTATAGAGTAGGTACACCACTACTTGAACATAAACTTTACAGTCAAGTTCACTTTCCAGGAGCTTTTTCCCCTATTCAAACACCACTATGACAGTAATACAAAATGATAGCATTAACTTAATACTTATAACAATAATAATCAAGTGAACCTAAGAACTAAATTTTAACAACTAACCTTGGGGAGTGATGTATCTGACTCATATCCAAAAGTTGATGACGAAGATAACTTATCAAAATTGTCCAGTGTGACAGCAATATGCTTATGCAGCTCTTGTGAGGCATGGAGTACATGTTTATGCAACCCATGCTTAATGGCAGACCATGCATAACTATCATTGTTCACAGAGGCTGATCTCATGTCAGTCAGCTGCCCAGGTGACATGCCGGGATATTTTTTGTACAAATGCCAAGTAATCAGATAATCCAATATTGAATCTCCCAGAAATTCAAGTCGCTGCAGGGCAAGGGTGTATATCATTCACAAATTGAGATAAAAGAATCAAAATTAACAGTAAGAGGAAAACATGATTAATCATGAAGTATGTGCACAATTAATATTTATTAGGTCCCACCAAGACTTACAAAGATAGGCTAGTAAATATGGACTTGGCAAAGGTTCATTCATACATAATAAATACATGCTAATGTTACTTCCTTGTTTCCATATGATGAACAATAACCACAGTAAATACCTGATAACATCTGGGAACTTCAGGAAGCATATAAGAACCATGGGTCAGAGCTTCCACCAAAAGAGAACGGTCATGGAATGAGTACTTCAATCGTGATTCTATAAAGCTGACATTTACCAGTTTCTCAGGTTGAATGTCAAACAGCCTATCATAGGGAATTTTATTGAAACTCACTTTAATACCAACCCAATCCATAAATAGCAATGCAGCCTTTTCACCACCAGTGCTGAGGAAGGCCCCAATTAGTGCCTCGACAACATCAGCAACAATCTTTCGTTTTAATTTTCTATTTCCACTAACATAAATTTTTCTGCCCTTGATATCCAACTCTTTCAATTTAAAACTTCCAGATTTATCACCAGGAATAGTCCAGGCAATAGGATCAAAAGGCTCATTTCGTATGAAGCCCTGCAAATCAAAATAATGCAAAATTCTAAAGTTTCAAGATTATAATGCAATCCTCATGGTGATAATTTTAAAACCACAGCAATTCAACTGAGAACAGATAAAACAATAGCTAAACATACAATAAAATCTTAACTTTAAATAAGAAAATTGATGAAAGACAGCATTCATAACAGATGCAGAGCATAAAAATGGAACATTCAACGAGAGAGAGAGAGAGAGAGAGAGAGAGAGAGAGAGAGAGAGAGAGAGAGAGAGAGAGAGAGAGAGAGAGAGAACCGGAAGTCCAGAACTGCACCCTAGCTTACAGAGGGCAGCATTAGATATGATCTTTTCCCTCTTTACACTAAGGAGACCTTCATGGTGATTTTGATATGTTTTAAAAAGTTGCTGACTGGCTGCATATTTAAGAAAAGAATCTCCAAGAGTCTCTAGAGACTCATAATGAAAGGTCTCATTGCATCTTTTAGTTGTGATTGCTTCCAACACCTACAATGCAAAACGCAGATACCAGTGGAGCAAAATATCTTTAAAATATTTGACAACTGGACATAATAATAATAATAATATAAAAAAAATAAAATATCCACACATTTAGAGAGCACCAATACAAATTAATCAAAAAAATCTAACAATTATCACAAATAATATAAAGATATAAAATTGCCTATTATGTTTTAAAGTCTATTAATACCGTGGCAATAATGGTGATAATGACAGTGGTGACACCACTGTCACCATGGCCGCCACCATCATCACCACCACTACCATCATCACCACCACCACCATCGCTGCCACGTGACAGTAATGATGGTGATGATTACAAAAATGACAGTGGTGGCGAGAGTAGTGATGTCACAATTGTGGTGATGGTGACGATAGTAGTGATGACAACACCTCTAACACTACCACTGCCATTTTTGTCGTTGTTGTTGTCACCACAACTGTCATCACCGTCACATGGTAGTGAAGATGATGGTGGTGGGTGATAGAGATGATGGTGACATCATCGCTACCATAGTTACCACCACCATTATTGTTGTCACTGCTACTACCGCTACCATCATCATTACCACTAGTGAAGAGATAATGGAATGATGAGATTCAAAAAAGAAAGAAAGGAAAAAACTAATTTATAATTATGGTTTGTGCCACCATGTTTTCATTTTATTGGAAAATATTGAAAATGATTTTTTTGTTGTCAATTTTGTACCTCATTTTGGAAATGTCTCCACAGAAAATATTATTTAAAACCTAAACAAACATTTTTTCGCCTCTATTTTCTGTTTTCACTGAAAATGAAAACAGAAAATGAACACACCAAACAGTTCCTAAGGCCCCATTAATATCTGTTTTTCATTTCCTGTTTTGACTCTTTAATTACAAAATTGTCATCTTATTTTCGATCTGTTTTCTGTTTTCAAAGAAATGAAAATATAAGTAACGGGTCTGAACTTTTCTAGATTGTAGTCAAGTCTAGAGCAATTGTAACACACCCTGATTGTTTGAATTTCATTCTGTGAGCAATGATCCAAATGCATCTTTTTAAGGTTGAAAGCTAGGAGCAATGCTTCAAGTCTATGCATTATCGACGGAATAAACGAGAAGGAATAGATGATACTATCTCGTAGTGGTGACATGACTATAAAGCACAGCTCAGGAGGTAATTCAACAAAGGCCTTACTTGCTTCTGAAACAGAAAACACAAAGTTAGGATTCAGATTGCATCGCATATGGGTAGTGCTTGAAGACAAACACTAAACATAGCCATGACTTTTGGGGTACATAACACAACTATAATTTGAAAATTAATAGAGTTAGGCATATCATGACATTGATAACTAAATTCACATTAATAGACGCAGATACTGCTGATACAAATCCTATTTATATTAAGATTATAACATTAACGTTCAGGTCAAGCAAGCCAATACAAAGGTAACAAATAAGAAGATTAAAGCTTTGTGCCTAACACAATGAAGCACAGGCCATTTTCATAGTTTTAATACCAAACAATGGTTCAGAAGAAATAAGCAAACTAACAAGTGTGATTTCCTTTCAATTATAATCAAATACCATTTAATGACAGTTATACATTCATAAAAATCCACTTCAATAGATATTGATTACACAGGTACAGTAACCCTAATTTTAAGATTCATGGCATAGTCAACCTCCTAGGTAACCACCTATAACAAAACTGTTATATTTATAAATAAATAAAAAATTCCATGCATTTATGGACAACAAAGATTGAATATCATTGGTCTAATATCACAAAGGAGAGATTAAGGAACAGAATAAAATAAACAGATTGAAAAATCAAAGATCATACCTCTTCCCTTCCCTTGTTTGCGTCCATGACAGTAATTTTTAACTTGAAACTTGTGTCTTGCTTTAATTAGTTGTTGATGTTCAAATTGCAATTCAATGCCATGACTGGAAATTGGAAGGAAACAAAAAATGAATAATGCACTCTAGTACATAAAACAACCTCAGAAATAAAATAAACATCAATCACAAATAATTACTTACTGTTGTTCATAGTAAGCCTTGTATGTCGTAACTCCACCTCCCCTTAGTTCCATAGGGGAGTTTCCATTCAAGTCCATTAAACCAGTGGTGACATAGAAATAAATCTTACCATTAGCATGGGAAGTACAAACCAATGAACCTTGCAGTTTACAAGTACAAACTAGGCCACTTTTAGTCCATATGGTCGGTTGATGAATCTTACACCTAATGCTACATGGATTTACAGAATTAATTGCTAACCAATCGACAACTGGATTTAGCCCTTTATCAATAGCGGGAAGCAGAAGATAATCAATCTCAAGATTATCTTCCAAATAGGATTTGTCTATATCAGTCGCCAACTTATCCATATTATTTTCTATGAGAATTCTAAGAATAGTAACCTGGAATTTTTTACATAAAAGAACCTGGAAAACAGAAACAAAGAATAGATAACTAGCTTTTCTTAACACATGCCAGATACAATTGAAGGACAACTAGACATCATACCTGATCCGGAAAAAGATTAATGGTTCCTTTGTATCTTAACTTCACAGACAAGCTACCTCTGTCAAAACCCATATCAAATTGTGTGCATCCGATTTCTGGATCAAGCTCAATTCTTGTGGCAAGAAAAATATCTTGTACACAGATATCATAGCTAAAATTTTGATTGAACTCCATCAAATAACAATGGTAGGTTGTGTGACTATTATTTGACACAGAATTTACCAATCCAAATGGGACATACGTTGGTTGGTTTTCATCATAAGGTTCGTTCCCTATAAGAATTTGTTTGATGTGGAAACCATTCAAATAATTATATAAACAAATAGAATTAGCTAGATTATACTTTTGGTCTTTCTATTTTTGTCAATCCGCAATTTTAGTCCTTCTATTTTAAAATAAAGACACTTAGTCCCTCTAATTTAAAAAATACGGAATGTTGATCCTACTGTCAAATTGACTTCTACTAATGTTTAAATTTTAACATTTACTCATACTTAAGTGATGTAACGTTAATCATGACATTTGGAGATAAAAAAAACTTAAAAAATCTTTAAAATTAGATTTATGAATAAAATAAATACTAATCAGTAATCACTCATTAAAATAGATACAAACAAAGGTTTTTGGTATGTTATTTTTTAATTTTTATCCCCACATGTCTCATCCCTAAATATCACATCACTTAAATCATAACAGATTACCAAACAACATCAAAATTTAACAATCAATGCACTTCAAATTGATGGTAAGACCAAAATTCTGTAGTTTTAAAAATAAGGAGATTAAATGTGTTTATTTTAAAATAAAGGGACCAAAATTGTGGATCAACAAAAATAGAGAGATTAAAAGTACAATATAGCCAATAGAATTTCACATTCAAGAAGTAATATTTAGTAAGACAGGAAATAGTAGGAGGAGAAATGAATAGAAGGCATCTATGTTACCAAATTCCTCCACCTCTGCTTCTTCAATGACAATATCAGGAACAAGATTATCTGTCAGAGCTCCAATCTTATGAAGTTGTTTGCATGCTTCAAGGCAAGCAATATTCTTCAAGATCTTTTTGTCACCTTCTACATGAATAGGCTGTAGAGGGCAGTTCTTGGGTAGATACAATGTTCCGGTCACTTTGTCCCACCTTGGAGTCGGTTTAAAGTACCTAAGAGTTTAATCTAGATAGGATAAATGATGAAGAACTAGATAAAAACAAAATAAAAGAACCAGAATGATGCAAAAGTAAGCATATCTTCAGTTCATTAAAATGAAGCAAGGAAAAAAAATGAAAAAGGGCAGTGATGAACTAACTAACCCATCTGAAGGAAGCCGTGAGCAATACAAGTGTATTAAACCAATACTAGAACTAAGATTTGCAAAGGCTTCAGTGCTTGCAACACGGTAAGTTTCCTCATCAAATTCATCACCTTCAAAAAGATCACATGGAAGGGAAGAATGACGCAACGACTCCTTCCTCATAATATCCCCACTTGCAAGGTATTTTTCTAGTCGAGAACAAGTAACTGAATCCCCACTGCAATTTCAGAATAAAATAAAGGTTATTCAGGGTAAAATTTACTTCAACTAGTAAAGCATATAGATTTGACATTATAATTTTGTCTCATGCAGTGTTGATATTTTACACTTGTGTATGTGCCAGGGTAATAATGATTCTTACTAACGGAGAAATGTAAAAAAGAAACACCTCTTAACCATTAATATGTAATCTGAATTTTGCATTCTGGCACGTCCCCGGGACTGTATGAAACTGCACACTGTGGGAGATGGATCAAATCTAATAACTAAATTGCAACTTTGAACATCTAAACCCTCTTCGAGAATTGATGTTGCAACAATGATGTTGACCTGCATATTAAAAAATATCTTGGTAAGACACTGCATTTGGTTATCACAATACAATGGATTGTTTAAGAAAAGACAACATACCAATCCCATTCGAAACTCTTCCACAATTCCATTTTGTTTTCTCCTTGACTGATTTTGCAAACCAAAATTGTGTCCTGCAATGAATTTAGTCTTCCAGCTATTGTATTTTGGAAGCAAGGTATTCAATAAATCCTGAAGGACAATGGCTGTAATGACCCTTTGCACAAAAATTATGCACCTCATATCTGTCAACCCCCTGTAATTGTAGCATAAATAGAAGATCCATCAAATAGATTTAATAATAATCATAATGGCATAAAAAAGAGGGAGTTACTACATAGTCAATTTTTTAAATCAATAAAAATGAAGTAACATGTGATTTTTTTTCTTTTCACTTTTACTTCTTTTCCCTTTCCCAAGTGATGTGTTCATGGCAAATAGATAATCTAAGTTAACTTACTTTTTCCTCTCACAAAATATTGACCCAAGTGTTTCAAATCTTTTCGTAGAAATTATTAAAATAACAGTGAGCAAAACACAATAAGATTATGTTTGCTGAAGTAGAGAGCGATTTTGTGGATTTTCTATTCAACTTGCTTCTCATAAAACCTCTTGGATTTTAGTATGAATGAAACTTATGAATACAAATAATCCTTCCAAAACATTAAGAATTTTAATAAGATCATCAAAAAAATATTGCCAAGCCACAGATTTCTTATAGATATTAAGAATTTTAAAAATATACATGCAAATGGAAAAGATAAACTTTTTTTGAAAATCAAACATTCACATAATATATATAAAAAACCAACTGTTCCAAAACCATTTAAATTTAGAAGGGTACAGTAGAATTTCTCTAAAAAAGATCACAGCATACAATCAAACAACAAAATAATCTTATCCCAATAAAACTACATACAATCAAAAACAGTAAGCTAGATAGAACAATAAGTCTAAAATAAATAAATAAATAACAAGTTTCATAAATTGGGTCACAATGCAAGATCTTTGTGAATATATCAATACAAGGTAGGGTGTTCAACGCTCGTCCCAACCTGAAGCCAACAGTAATAGACTTGGATTCTAGAAACTAGACCCATTGTAATTTTAGGTTAAGATTCAAGTTATTGCAAACTCCTGATATCACACAACATTTTAAAATTCACGCACAGATACACACATATTTGTTTTCATATTGTAAAACATCCATCAATTGCATACCTTTAAATTGTATTTTGTACCATAAAATATCTTAACTTGTACATTTTGTCATAATAGAGTCAACCTAGAACTATTCCAAACATTAGTTGGGACATGATGCTGAATTACGAAATATTGGGAGAGGTTAAGATTAGATTAATTCCATCCAATGAACTTCCCTATTCAGAGCTGAAGAATAAAGAAGAAAGATGAAACTTCACATTAAATAACCAAGCATACAGCACATACTCATTCAATAAGAAACTTAAACAGTCTACCAAGGACAACAAAAGTCTAGGTCAGAAAATCCATAATAATAACTCACATTACATTATTTCATCACATTTGATATATTTAGAAAGAAACTTATCCTTGATGATAACCTGTACTCAAGTAGAGAGTCAATAAGACAGCAAACTTTGGAGGTTAACAGCCCCATTTCCACATCAGATTTGATATTGTCACCAATAGACCATTGAGATGCTGAGTAAGAAAACATTTTGAATAAATTAATGTTAGAAATGCATGCAAAATATTTATATTCAAAATTTCACAAGTTCTCTCAATGGTTGTAGAATCATTACCACATGGTAAGTATGTTTTAAGCGTATGCACACCATCCAAAATAAAGCTTCTAAGAACTCTATCACCAGAGTGTCCCCATGAAAATGATTCACTTTCATTGGAAGATAAAGACTCTGCAGCCTGTCACATCAAAAAACAATTGTTGTCAACTATGATTTCCAAAACTGTGAAGAGCCATAAGAGTCAGAAAGTCTTTGCGGGAGGAAGGCAAGAACCTTCAAAGCCAACCAAACACCAAGCTCATCTAGGCAAAACATTAAAGCAGAAAAAATCTTTGTTATTCTTTTTTCTGCAGACTCAGCAGCTGTTTTAGTGAAATCTGAACTTCTTAGAGTGATTTCATGCTGAGAAAAAGAATATCCAATAGTTAATAACCTCGAGAAATAATAAACTATAACATAAAAGAATACGGAACTTATAAAGTAGCACTAAATATAAATGAAAGTATGATTCTGACTAATAACTAAATATGGGAAGATGATAGGAATAAAGCAAATGACTAAGGAGCATACTCATATTTCCCCTTTCAAGTTTTGACACGGAGTTTTTCTTTTTCTGAATTGTTTCAGAACATATATTAAAAACTGATATCCTTAAACGTACACACCTGCTCTTTTAACATCTTGAGTTTAAATGCTAATTCTTCAAATAATACAAATTGAACTCCATTATCCCTGTAAAACTTGAATTTTGGTGTCGATGTTGGTATGAACTCAGCGAGGACAGCTTCACTTACACATGTATATACCTTCAATTCAAAATATTTGTCAAACAAATACTACATAGCAAGACCAAATGATTTGCACATCAACACAAACAAGCATTAATCACATGAACAAATTATGCTAACAGGTTCCAATACCTCTAGGCATGTCAACATTAAGAGTCTTGAACAGTGAGAACCGCTAGAAATAACTAAAAAGTATCAAATAAGATAACCCATAAGTTAACAAAAATTTAATCCTTTGATACTTCCCTCCAATAAAACTTGTCACTCTGAGGCCCTATCAAGTATCAATAGTCCTGTGATGTATCTACATATGGTTATATTTAATTACCATAATGTTTATATTGGAAAAGACTCAAGTCCCACATCGACTAAAGATAACATAATTAAAAAATATATAAGTGGAGAGCAATCCTTACCTTACAAGCTAGTTTTATAGGATTGAGTTAAGTTCAAATTCAAATCCACTATTCTAAGATGGTATTAGAGCTATCTAGATCTACTCTAGATAGGCCACCTACCATTAATACATACACCAAGCTCAATAGTGTTGGGCATGAAGGGGTGTATTGAGAAAAATTCAAGTCTCACCTATCCTAGATCATTAAAAAGAGTCACCCACCATTTATCTACGTACCAAAAAAACCCAAGTCTCGCATTGACTAGAGATAAGGCAATTAAAGAATATATAAGTGAATAGTAATTCTCACCTTACAAGTCAGTTTTGTAGGGTTGAGTTAAGTTCAAATCCACTATTCTAAGAGTTTATATGATTATACTAAGAAGAGGATAACACTCAAACAACACAATGACATGAATAGAAAAAAGAAAGCAAGTAAAATTGTACAAAAGAGGGGGGAAATAAAAAAAGAACCTTTGAATGCATTAGAGTCATTAGTTTCCGAATATTATTTGCCCAGGATGATTCAGAATTTCCAACTGGATTAAAAATAAAATAGAAGAAAAAGGCAATTCAACATTATTGGGAAACAAAAAAAAAGCAAGCAAGCAATGCAAGGACCATAAGCTTTCTCTAAGCCAGAATACCTTTTGACTTAATTGGAGATGCAGTCATCCCGAAAATTCGAGGGAGGTCAGAGATACCAGAATTTAATTGGTGATGATAAAATTCCTGCATGAAATCAAATATTACAAAGGTGACAAACCAACTCCACAATATAATCTGCAACTTCACAATGCAGATGCAGAAAGGAAACAACTTCTTACAATACATGATTGTAATGGTCCTTAAACAAAAGAAATTACAACTCAAAGAAAATTAAAATTAGAAAAAAGCATGATACTACAGAACAGAGTCACCAATTCAATTTATAATCTCACGTCATAAAGTAAGATGGTCAATGGTAACAAATTTTCAGAACCCACGCATCAGGTCACACCACCTTATTACATCCATGGAATTCATGTTCGACATCAAGTCTTTTTTCATATTATCTTTGGAAAATGCAGTATTTCAGAGTCCAGATCTATTAACGACACCATAAGTTTGCTGCAATTTATATGACAACATATTGCAACCAATGGGATGTCAAGAAAAAACGTTTAATTAAATGATTATTCAATTAAAGCTTATCACATGAGCTTATTTGATAAGATTCACAGCGAAGATTATTTGAATTAGCCAAAAAAGTACATAAGAAAGTCATAACCACTTTCATAGGCATAATCAAACACCTGCATAAATGCTTGATTTTAATGTCCAGAGAAACCCAAGTAAGTTATGTAAAAACTCCTTCAAAAACCCCACAAGTCAGTGAATGGACGTATGTGTCTTTTACATTAGATAGTTTCTAGAGATGAGTACACACTGAATATATAACTATGACTAACTTCTTACAAGAGTTGTTTAGAGATCTAATTCCTAATCCACAAATGGATGAATAGTCTTTTGCTATTAATGGTATGCATGTCATAGAAGAAGAAAAATATTTTAATGTCACAAATCAACCACAGCTCACATATCATTCTACCCAGTATGTACACTAGCACAGTGGTAGTGGGTTTAATTTCCCTTTCCCCCTTTGCTCCTGTCCATAGATATTTAATTTACCCAACAAAAAATGAATATTAAGGACAATAATTAGAAAGGTTAAAGGTATATTACAACATATTAATGAAAAAGTCACAAGTGAAATATATTATCATGATAAGAATTCATAAAAAATTAAAAGACACAAATCGGTTAATAAAAAACCAAGGAGGGGATATAACACTCACAGTCATGAGGCAGGCGTATGGGTGTTTACCCCTAGCATGATGGCATTCATCCACTATTAAAACCTTGATCATATTCAGTTTGAAAAAGCTATGCCTCAAGCAATTCAGCAATATTGCAGGAGTCATGACAAGCACCTATACATTCAAAAAGCATTACTGAGAGTAATTACCAATTATCCTTGCAAATATCTGTGTAGAATACAAAAAATAAATTTCAAAAGGATCATTCTAAAAGTAACAAATGATGCAATGCATATCATATTCAAATTCAAGTCAATTGAATAACAGAAAAAAGAAAGCATGTCTTCTCCATTTTACCCAAACACAAAGATAGAAGATAGAAGCCTCAATGGCTTTGGTTGTCAAGAGAGATTAATTACGTACACATTAAGTTCAGAAACCGAAAACAACAGACCAAATGAAGGGTACCATAATTTTTTATTTCTATGATTGGGACAGGTTTGTTTAGTCTTTATTTGTACATTTTCTACTTAATTAGGTTAGAAGCAGACTATATATATGATTTGTAATCACTCTTTGAAGGTTAACAAATTGTGATTCGAATCGTGAATCGCTGAGTTGACTTTTGAATCATGAATCATAATTTATATCACATTGTAAGATTCTGAGACAATGAAAATTACTTCAAATATGTCATATAGATGATATAGTGTTCAATGTAAAAACTTAAAACTAGAAACAGATGAAACAACTTGAGCAAAGTCTTGTAGAACAAAATAATTATAGTTATATACGAGTTTGTGAAACCTTTATTTTAGAAGAATTAAATGAAAACAAGTAAATAACTAAAAAGAGTATATATATGCATTGAATGAGTGAGAGAAAAATTGAGAAACAGAATAATCAAATAGGATAAGTTCAAAAGAGTTCTTTCAATTCCTTTTCATTTAACAATTTAAGCTTATATAACTTTTCAATTTTTTCATGAGAATTGGAGTTAGAAAGGTCAAAAAAGAAAAAATAACGAATAGTTAAATCTTATGGCTCGTATCGATGATACAAAATTGCAAAGATTCTTTCATGTATAGTAAGATACAAAGTCATTTTAGATTCATCTTATGATATGTATTAGCAGGTTGTCAAATTGTATCGAATCATAAGATTCAAATCGTAAATTCTGATAACTATTTACCTAATTATAGATAAATATTCAACGACCTTTTCAAGTGGGGGAAAACAGGGATATGTCACATAACACAAACAGATGGATTATGATTAAGCAAAGCAGGTTCGTACACCTAACAAGAGCATTATCAGTCCCGACAGAAATGCAAAATCCCTCACCTCGTGTGTCTCCGTTTCTTGTTTCCACGTAGTAGCATCCCAGAAGTCAACTCCCATATCTCCCCAATACATCCCCACGTTCAAATCAGTGTGCATTCTCACGGCTTGAGCTTGCTAATAAGCAAGGGAATAGCAAAAAGTTAAAGCACAACGAAAAAAAAAAAGCACAGTGAAAGAAAGCACTGATCCATTACTGCATATCTCCTCAACAAAAACCACATGGCAATCAAATATAAAGCATCCCAATTCTCAAATTTGCAAAAGACATCACAAGAGAGAAAGTGGCATACTTGTGACACCAACACAACTTGGGGAACCAAGAACACTGCGACGAAAGGAGAAGGCTTGCGCAGAAGATGAGCATAGCTGCGAAGAAGCATGACGGCTATCAAAGTCTTGCCTGAACCAGTCTCCAAGTAAACTATGGTATTCTCACGGATAGCGTTCTCCAATGCTTCAAGTTGATAGCTACAAAACCACAATAAAAAAAATCAAGATCAATGACAATAATAACACATTCAACAATGCATGTCACTCAACACTAGAAGTGCTAACAACAACACGTGCACATTAAACTCACCTTCTAGCGAATGGAAGAACATCACGAGTAATCTTCTGCTGCGGGGTATTGGTATCTATCTCCATTGGCAGTGCTTCTTCCATGGTTCTGTTGCCTTCTTGATCAACCTGCGTTCAAATTCAAAAGACAAAAAAAAAAAAAAAATCAAGAAACGATCGTTCTCCCTGTCATGGAAGATGCAAAACATAAAGAAGAAAAAAATCGAAACCCAGAACTCACTGACACGCGTTGAGAAAAGGGTAATGAAAAAGGTGGTAGCTTTCCTTGTGAGTAAGGAGAGTGAGAGTGAGAGTGTGACTTAAAAAGAAGAAGTTTTGAAACGAAATCACAGTGATACTGACACAACTTGCTTCGTAAGCAGCTTGCGAGCGAAGGAATAAAATAAATTAAATAAAAATAAAAATAAAAACTGCACAGAAAGACACACGAGACGAGTCAATGTCACTAGGACCAATTAATATACCAAAACAGTATTATTTGTTATTTATACGAAAAAGAAAAAAAAAATACCTATTTGGGTTGCCACCAAATTCAAAGTATTTTATATTATTAGTCCTTATAATTTATAAAGTAAATTTATGTAATTATAAGAGTTAAAAATAAACAAAATTAAATATATAGATTAAATGAAATACTTTAACTATAAAAAATAAAAAGTAAATTGAGAGAAAATTAGTAATTAAAACTAAAATATTTTACATCTAAATACTTCTATATATCTTCTTCACTTATCTTCTGCTTAATTTTAAATAGATAAGTGTGAGAAGGAGACATAAAAAAAATAGAAAAATAGAAAAAAAAACAAAAAAAATATATAATAAGTGAAATCATAGAAAAAGAAGAGGAAGATCAAAGAGATATAAATAGAAGAAAATATATATATAATTATGTTAATATAGTGGTAGTACTTCACTAACACTACAAAGCATAAATGATTAACTGCAATTTATTAATGTAATAAATACAATGGTGTAAAAAGTTACATCAACTATTCTACAATGATTGTCTTGACGATAATGGAATAATAGAGGCTTTAAAATAGACTAAAATTCTAATTTAGTTCCTTATAATATTAAAAAAAAATTAATTTGATATTACTTTAATTTTTTGTTTTAATTTAATCCTAATTTATTTAAAATATTTCAACGTGGAACTTTCTTCCAAATTTCACAAATTGCATTAAAGATCCATGAGAATCATGCTTGTGATTCCAAATTATTTAAAGGTATTGTTGATTATTGATAAAATTATTTTATTTTATTTTTTCATAACAAATTATTTAAAGGTATTGTTGATTATTGATAAAATTATTTTATTTTATTTTTTCACATTTTTATTCTTATGATGAAGAGTGGAAAAATGATATTTCTGTAAAAATATGAAAATTTATTTCTAACGCATTTATAACTGTTTGTTTTAATTATTTTTTATTTAAATTATATTGAATTCTAAATTTTTCCTATGAATATTAGAATGTAACGAAACATATTTTTTTTAAAAATATATTCAAGAATCGAAAAGAAAAAAAATTATACCCAAGAATAACACTTCAATTAAAATATATCTAAGAATATAATATGATTACTTGGAACAAATGAATTAAATAGAGTAATCGAATAATTGAAGATATAATATAACAACCTGATTTTTATTTATTAAGTGTTTTTGTTATTTATTTTGTATTTATTTATGGAAAACCGAATAAGAATATCATAATTTTGATAGGCACAATTCTAACGATGAGTACTATATAGTTTTGATTTTTAATAACTTTTTTAGACCGAAGTCTGAAAAATAGTAAAATGACTGTTTTATCCCTAAAATATTAGTAATGATGATAATTAATACTAATATAAATTAGAAAAAATAGCTAAAATTATAAATATATACATATATTTTTGAACTTCAATAATATTTAGAATAAAAAATTCTATTTGGGGGTGATTTTTTCCCATGGTTAACTATGTATGCTTAACCAACGTCATTGTAATAATATATATATATATATATATATATAATTATAAATAACATTTTTAGTGAGAAATAATTTTAGATAATTATTTTACTAGTTAATAATTTATTAATAGTATTACTAAATTAAAACTTGTTGAAAATATAATTTAATTAAATTAAAATATTATCATTAATAAAATTATATTTTGAAATTTAGCTCACTAAATTTCTATCTCTAGTCATTTTATTATTTATCTTATTTATCTAACACTGCTAATAAATAAGTATGGATTTGAATTATATTTAAAAAAAGTTAAAAATCAAATAAAAATTACCGGCCACCAAAATCATTTGTATGGTGATCTCATCTTTTACATGCATGATTAAGTTGTTTTACATAAATTATAAGAGAAATAAAATATTTCTTGATTTATTTTTAATGAAGAGTATTTGTTGTTTGTATGTTGTTGGGCTTGTGCTTTGGACCTTATAGGGAATTGGATCAGATATAGGGATGTTATAAGTGTAACACCCCAAACTTTTTTAAAATTATTAAAAGAATATTTTAAATAATTAAAGAGATTTTATAAAATATTTTAAAAGTTTAATAATTATGAGTATTTTTATTTAATAAAGAAAGGTTGTGAAAATATTTTGTTATCGTAAATATTTGGAGAAAATGTGTTTTAAGTAATTTTTTTAATTGAGTGTATTTTAGAAAATATATGTTTTTATAATGTTGTTTATTTTAATTATGTTTTTATGTTTTAGAATAAATAAGGGAATGTTGCATCCATCATTTAGTGTTCATCAAGATAAAGGAGAGTGAGAGCTTTCTCTTTTAGGTAAAAATTAATTGTTGGGTAAAGGGGTTAATTTGACCATGTTTATCTAATTCTTAGAAAAATTCATGATTTGACTCAAGGAAAGAGAATTAAAGTTCTATGTGTTTCTTATGAGCATTATGTGTGTTAATTAAGTTGTATGTGTGATTAATTTCATGTTGAGTATTTTGATCATAAATTTGTGAGTGCCTATGAAAACCCTTGAGTTGTAGAGCAAATTGAAGATTGATGTTAATTGCTTGAATAAGAGAAATTGATATTGGATTTGAGTAATTGATGGTATAATAGAGTAGTATTAAGCTTTAATCATATTTTTTACTGATTGGTTTGGAGTTTTAGAGTTATGGTTTCGTAATGTGCGACTTTTGCACATCCTACAAGTTTATCATGAACTAATGTCACACCAGGTGCATATTTATGGGCCCAGATGTGATTATACATAATGTTCACTATTATTGTGACCTTGGGCATAAAATGGATCTTGTCGAGCACCATTTAATGCTATTGCTATGTAGTTTCATGACGGATGTGACCTTAGCCATGTTGAACGCAAGTATGGCAAAAAGGGTTTTATCCAGTGTTTAAAAAACCGGACCGAACCGGCCGGTCAGACCGGTTGGACCGGGAACCGGTGGTCCAGCCGGTCCGAATCTGAAGTTGGATCGGTTATGCAGTCGACCCGTTTCAAACCGGATTGAACCGGTCAATTTTCCGGTTCAACCGGTGAACCGGTGGGTCAAACCGGTTCAACCACTTTTTTTTCTTTTTTTTTTTTAAATTTTTTTAAGGGACCATAAATCACAAAAATAATAATGAAAATTGAATCTCTTAATGAAAAAGCAAGGAGTCTTATTAAATATAACAATGACTACTTGTTCTAATATATTTGTTTGCAATATATACAACTTAAATAACTTTTATAGTATATTATTAATTTTAAATTATATATTTAATAATGCAATATCTATGTAAATATTACATATATTATTTTGTGATATCAATTGCAAGCATATTATATATGTACATATTATTTATATTTTTAATTTGTATTAATATACAGTTTAACATGTAATTTTTTATATATTTTTTACAAAATAAAAATAAAAATAATTTTAAATAAGATAGAAAAATTGAAATTTAAAATAAGATATGAATTTATTAAAATTTATAAGTATAAAATATATTTAATATGAATATTTTTTTAATAAAAATAAATAAAAACCGAGTCATGCGGTTCAACTAGTGACCCACCGGTTCAACCTTTAACCCACTGACCCAGTACCTTAACCGGTTCGATGACCGGTCCGGTTTTTAAAACTATGGTTTTATCTTCTCTACGTTGGGCATGATAATGTCAAATTTATGTTTTTTGATCTTCATATGAACTATAACTCTAAATGTTAGTTTTTCAATGTTGGTTGAATCACCTAAAAAGTAGGTATAGAACTCAAATCATGATCAATTTACTAAACAAATGTTAGTTGTCAAATTTAGGTTGAAACGATGCGATTTCATAAATTTTAAAAATAGTAGACTACAAAATCAACTTGTGTGACCAACATAAGAGTTTTAGATAATTGTATCAACTTTATAACAAAACTGAGATTAACTTGATATCATAAGTATAACTTCATATATCGTGTTTATACCTCACTATTAAGTAAAAAAAAACTTAGATCCCTTGAGTTCAGAGTTCTAATGCTGACAAACAAAACATTTTTATAAGGAAAAATATATTTAAAAACGTCTTTGAAAATACTTATCAAACAGAGTGTAAGATGTAGATCGTTTATAAAATGATGTAAATCAGACGAAGTATATAGTCTGTCTCATGTACATTAAATATTTATTATTTATTGAGACTAACGACAAAAGCTTTTTGAATGTTTCATTCCTTAACAAATCAAACTAAAAAAGTATCTTGAAATTCATAAATTTGTTAAAGAGAATAAGATCATACTTTTCATCGGGATCAAGGATAAAGATATAATTTAGATGTAAGACTTATATATTTGATTGAGTTGGAAATAAAATAAACCTAAAAAAGATGAGTTTATTAAAGTGTTTGATGATAAATTCAATATAATATTCTAATTAAATTATTAAATTGACTTGCTTAGATCAACCTAACGAGGGAAGAAGATATATGGAATGAATGCTGTATATATGTAAATTTATACAACTCCTTTAAAATTAAAACTAAAAGTATAAGAAGTGAGTGAAATAAATAAAATGTTTACATTTGTTTGGAGTATTGTTCTTGAGGAAAAAAAACATTATAGGTTTTTTGAGTGCGAAAGACTACGATATTAGATTGGATGTCTTCTATTATGCCTTTAGGAAATTTTTAAAGGATTGATAATGATTTGTTTCATAATAAATGGAACTCCATTGTCATATAAAACATGATATGTGTTAGTTAACCTTAATAATTCATAATGGTTCAATGAGTCATAATAAGTCATAATGATAGGTCTATAACTCATTATGACATTTTATAATTCCAAGCGCTAAGCTTGAAAGATAAAAACAATATGTTTTTGAATCATACATGTTATGTTATCACTATGTTCATTTGTAAATATCACCCAACTCAATTAATAATTACGAGAATGTCAATACTTAACCGAACAAAATATAATTAATATATATTATTTTCTTTTTAAAATGTAATTTTATCGATCAACTCATAACTCGTATTAATAATCTTATATAATAAATTTTTAATTTATAACAATTTATCGTAAACTAATAATTTTATGCGACAATAGTGTTGATATCCATTAATTAAGGTAGTTAATTTCCTTCTATTTCAATTTAGTTTTTATTTAAATAAAATATTAACATCAACTCGATTTAAACATTATATATATATATATATATATATATATATATATATATATATACACACTATTGTCATATAAAACCAAAACTTATTGGCATTAGTTAGTTTAAGAGATCATTATATTCGTTGGGCCTATTTTCATTGAATTGAGAGAACATTATCAGCATGGTTGATAAAGAAAAAAAAATATTTTTTAAAAGAAAATCGATCCTTTAGAATAAATCAGGCTTAATTATGTGTCGAATAATTTGATAAATTTAATCTTTTAGTTTTTATAGTTAAAAATATTCAATTCTAATTTCTATTTATATTTTTTTTTCTTTTTAATCCCTATCATCTATTTTTATAAAAATTAGAAGATAAAGTTCTCAAAATTGTAAGGACGAAAAAATAATTAAACCAATAAATTATATCAAACACTTATGAAAAAGGTGAGGAGGAACTTGAAAAATTACTAGTCAGAAGGTGTAATGTTATTAAAGAGTAAATTGGCCCAGGCCCAGCTTTAGAGCCCAAACCCACAAGAGATCTCAGGTACAAAGGATGGCCCAATAACCCCAACGGCTAGTAATTATAAAACGGCTACTTTCCTTTCCAAAATTTTCTTTCACCTTTCTTTTGTATCGTTGCAGCACTCATTGCTGGTGTGCTTTTTCCTCCACTCTGTTAAATTCGCTATCTTTTACCACTTCTCTTTTCACACCCAAAGAAAGGAAGAAGAAGAAGTGGGGTTCCCTTAGTTGAAGAATTCTGCAATCTTGTTTTTCTGGCTGTGAAAGTTCTTGCCACAATGCTGTTTGAAAGAGGCTCTCCGGCGAGGTGCTTCACGACGCCGCCGCCGCAGCCGCCGTCGTCCTGGAAGTCGAGACTGTCACGGTCTCCCACTGTGCCGTTTTCAGAGAGAAAAAAATCACCAAACTCTGCGAATAAAAACGATCTTTTTCATATAATTCACAAGGTCCCTGCTGGGGACTCACCTTATGTTAAGGCCAAGCAAGTTCAGGTAACATTTTGAGTTGATTTTGAACGTTAATTCATCTGGGGTTTGTTGTTTGTTCTTGCTTTTGCATCTTGACTTCATTTCTTGGTCTGAATTTCTTTTCGTGGGAAACAAGGTATTTGTTTCTGTAACATTGCTTTGTTTCTTTGATGTTTCTTTTTGGTTTTGTTATGAATGTGATGTGATGATGTTAGAGGGGCAAAGTGCGAGTCTAGTAATGTTTTGTTATAGTTATTTATAGAATTCATGGGGTGGAGTGTGAAGGAGAACTTGCATTGTAAAGGGTTGTTGTTGGTTTGTATTCTTTCATTGGTTTTGTGCAATGATTGTGAATCTGAATTCTTCATTTACAGCTAGTGGATAAGGATCCAGGTAGAGCAATTTCGTTGTTTTGGGCTGCTATCAATGCTGGGGATCGTGTTGAAAGTGCATTGAAGGACATGGCCTTGGTTATGAAGCAACTGAATAGGTCAGATGAGGCAATTGAAGCTATCAAATCTTTCCGTCATCTTTGTCCTCTGGATTCTCAGGATTCTCTTGACAACATTTTGGTCGAACTGTATAAGGTAAAAGCTGGTGGATTCTCTTTTTTTTGTTGCTGTTTTTCTGTGTCATTAACTGAATTGAACTTTTAACTACGTGCGTACATTGGTACCCCTCACCTGGTGGAATAAGGCTATTCTTGTTGTATGCATGTTGATACACCTAAGCTAGTTGGGTAAGAATGTTGCTGTATGCATGTTGATACACCTGACATAGTGGGATAAGGCTATTGTTGTTGTATGTGTATGTTAGTATACCTCAACTAGTGGTATGAGACTATTGTTGTATGTATGTTGGTACAGAGGTCAGGAAGGGTTGATGAGGAGATTGCCATGCTTCATCACAAGTTGAAGCAAATTGAAGATGGTGTGACCTTTGTGGGAAGGACTACAAAGCAAGCAAGATCTCAAGGGAAGAAGATTCAAATAACTGCTGAGCAAGAGATATCGAGGTGTGTTTTCTCATCCATGATCTTTTGTGATTTTACGTCTAGTTTATAGGCCATGGACCTATACTTGACTTTGAATTTCTCTTTATTAATATGTAGGATATTGGGGAACTTGGCCTGGGCTTACTTGCAAAAAGAAGACTATAAAACTGCTGAAGAACATTATAGGTGTGCTTTTGAGATGGAACCAAAATGGAGCTTATATTTATTTTATTTTTTTAAGAAAAAAATAACAATTCCTTATTTGTTTCTACAGAAAAGCATTGTCTTTTGAAGTTGATCGAAACAAGCAGTGCAATTTGGCAATATGTTTGATGCACATGAACAGAATCAAAGAAGCAAAGTTTCTGCTCCAGGCAGTAAGCACCGCGACAAAAAACAGAAAGATGGATGATTCTTTTGTTAAATCATTTGAACGCGCTTCTCAGATGCTGATCGAGATAGAGTCATCATCATCGGACAATGCTGCATTTTCAGTGACTAGCAAGTCACAGTGTTCTCCACAAAGCTTTGAGACATCGATTGAAAAGAGCTCTGATAGTATTAAGAGTAGGACAGAAAACCGGTCTGTGACATCTGAGGGGGATGTATCTCATGCCAGGAGGAGATTGTACCAGTCTCCCGATTGCGGTAGAAGAGATCTGAATGTTCCTTGCACAAAACCGAAAAGATGTTCATGGGGCTTCAATAACGGATATCGAAGGGAAACTTGGGGAGATGTCCATTCAGATTCTAAATCATCATTTGGGACTCCTCCTAATAATGTTAAGCATGCCACAAGGCCGAGAGAAAATGGTTTGTCTTCACCTGCCAATGGAAAGTGGAGGTCAAGGACCTTGGAAGATCCTTCTATACCAAGGCATGAAGGTACAACAGCTGTTGCTAGTTCTAATTCATTACACACTTTGAATACAGAAGCAGCTATAGAGTTTACTGAGAAGGAGAAACCTGCTGCATATGACAGTAGCTATAGATCTACACTGTCGGAATCACATGTCATGGTTGTGAATGGTGCCAATGAATTTGCTTCAGGAAACAGAAAACCACTTGAGAAGAAGAGTTGGGCAGACATAGTAGAAGAAGAACAAGATGAACAGATACAGAATGACTTCTTTAGTGGATACATAAGTTTTGATGGTGAGGATGGTGCAGAAGTTTTTAATGACGAAAATGAAGACTCCAATATAATCTATCAGTGTCCTTGGCCACAGAACCAGATTGAATGTTCAAGCAAAAAGCTTGAATTGGACCAGAAAGATGGTGCATCTGGTAGTGCCATTTTATCAAGGAATCCAACAGCAAGGCGTTCTCTGTGTTTCAATGCCGAACCGACTTCAGAACCAGCTTATTTCTTTTGCACATCAAAATCACCAAGGAAGGCTTCTAACTTGGAAAGCCGCAGAATTCTGGCAAGGGAAAGGGACTCATTGACTGGGGAGAAGAAACAAACAAGGAGAAACAGGCTACAGGTATTTCAGGATATTACTCTTCTCCCGGAGACACCATGACTTTTGCATAAGATTATTTGTCTCTATACTAGCGTCCTTATGGATGGAGAAGAATCACATTATTAAGACTTATTGGCTTAATTACAGGATCATGATGATGGATAGCATTTATGGATGGAATTTTGTTCATTAATATAGCTTATTCCTTCATTCATACTCAATGTTTTATTTGGAAGTTGTAACAACTTCTGTAAATCCGTGTTCATTTGTCCCAATACTGTAAATGTAAAATAGTTTCCTCAATTGTATTGAAACTGGAAGAGTGCCTAGTACTGGTAAACTCACAGATTGTACTTCAATTTTCTAGTTTCATTACTGATATTATGTACTTCTCCTTCGACAATCAATGAATAAAATTTATGTTTCTGTCTATTCCTTGTAAAGTCCAACTCCGTGCTTTCCAATACTTCAAAATAGTTTCCTCCGTTGTATTGAAACTGGCAAAGTGCCTACTGTTCACTCACTGATTGTGCTTCAACTTGAATAGTTTCACTACTGGCATTATGCATTGCTCCTTCTACCTACAATTAATGAAAAAAAGTCATGCTATCTAATATTGTAAAAGCCGAACAGTTCCTATTTCTGGCGCACACAATTTGAGTAGTTTTATTACTGATATTAATATTATGCAATGATCCTTCTACAATCAATGAAAAGAAAAGAAAACTTGTGCTTCTGTTAGTTCCTTTTAAGATTTATTGGTCCATAGTTGTATCGCTACAGCTAAGGTTATCATATTTTTAAGTATCACAATGTATTAATGCACAGATATTTTGAACACTTATTATTGAATGAACAAATGTTAACAAATATAATTAATTTAAACGGTTGGAGTCTCGATACTATGCTCCATGTTTCGTTCATGGACTTTTCCAGCATCTTATGATTCAACTAAACAGTAAAAACATATATGCTTCCGTTGTCAGATATGAAAATCTAAATGTCAAACTTGAAATGACTTGATGAGGTTAAAGCTCTAATTTGGCATAAAAAAATTTCTTCAAACCATCATAACTGATACCATATTTAATTTTAATTGTTTTCTTAGTCGTTCGAACATGAATCCTCACGTGGCCATTCATACTTTCTTTTATTTGGATAGAAAAAAAGTAATAAATTGACTTAATTTTATGAAGAAATTAAAAAAACATATATTGGAAGAAAAATTAGAAGTTAACTAAAGTGTAAAAGAAGCAAAATGACACTATAGATATTAGGGGTGTAAGCGGGTAACGATTTATCCATGAACTTGACATGTCTAAACCAATTCAATTACATTTTGTTGAATTAGGTTATCGGGTTAGTTGGATAATTTTTATGTTACCCAATTATAATTGGGTCGAATAATGAATCAAGAAATTTGTTATTTGACGAACTTGAACTAACTTGACCTATAATAAATTATTAAATTGAATAAAAAATATTATACATAATAGAACGCATAATACACTCTTATGTATATATATTAATTACACTTTTTTCACTAAATATTGTAATAATGAGTTGATTGACTAAATAAAAGAAGAACTAGAGCAAGAAAAATAATTTAATACTACTTATTATGCAATTCAAAATTTGTTAGTTAATGACATAATGTTTGTTTATTTGAGATACTTTTGATTTCTCATTGATGTAATGTTGTTTATACTTTGAAATGTGTATTAAAATTTAAATTAATTTTTTTTGTTTCTTATTTGTTTCAATTTTTTTAAATATATTTATTTTTTAATTATTCAACGCGATGATCTATCTTAACTGACTATAGTCGGATTGGTTTAAGTTTATCACTTTAAAAAAACTCCATAAACTTAATTCAACCCAATTTGATTAAGTTTAATTGGTTTGGATATTAAAATATATTATACTCAACTTAACTTTACTCGATCCAATTACATCCTTAGCAAAATGTTTAAATAAATGAGTTAGGTATGCACAATACTATTTTAAATAAGGATTGGATTTCAAGATAATGAAAGGAAGAAAAAGATAGAAAAAAAAGAAAAGAAAAAGAGTTGAAAGTTAGATTATTCTTCAAGTTGTTGTTTAGTAGGGGAAAATTTATTTTCTATTATTTTTTGTGTGTAGAAAGTGGAAAAAAAATGAATAGTAGAATGAAACAAATATCTTAAATAAAAATGAAATGTGTGATAAATAGAAATATTTTATATTTATATAAAAGAAAATATTTTCCACAAATGATTGACAAATAATTTATATTCTTTAAATATATGAGTAGGAATTCAAATTTATGTATATGAAAAAATAATATGTTTGTTAAGAAATGTTGACTCCTTTAATAGATATTAAAAAATAATTTTAAATTAAATCACATTAATATAATACATTTTTTATTTCTCTTAATTTTTTAAGTTAATAGTTGTTTTTTCACAAAGTACGTAAATTTGTTGTTATTATTGACAGATACATCAATTTCTTTAAGCAATACTTCAAATCACCATTAAGATTTCACCAATTTTTTTTCTTTTCTAAAAACCTATTTTGGTCCCTTATAATAATTGTTTGTTTAATTTAGTCTCACTTTTATTTTTTGTCTCAATTTGGTCCCTAATAAATTAATTGGTTGCAATGTCGCCGTCTAAATTATTTAAACAGAGTTAACTGTTGGCCACGTGGATGCCACGTAGATGCACAAATGGATGCCACGTGGATGCCAAATTGCTTGAAAACACCTGGAACTAGAACGGTCCATTCTAAAACCAGAATGGACCGTTCTGGGTGCACACTTGGTATGTTAATTTTGCATCTGAAACAGGCCGCTCCAGATGCAAAATTAACACACCACGAGTACATAAGAACCAGAACAGCCCGTTCCAGAACTATAATAATTTTAAAAAATATTTTTTTATGATAAAAATTTTAAAATTACTTATTTTTATAAAATATAATTGTCTTATAAATAGAGTGATAACTTTTCCTTTTTCTCTTTCTGTCTGAAGAAATATTTAAGTGTCACTTAATAACTTAATAATTTTTTGCAACTTATTTAAAATTAGAGGAATAAAATGATAAAAATTAATAGGATAAACATAATAAAATTATTAATTTGTTTTCTTTTAGTGTCCTCTAAATTTTTACACTCGTTTAAAACAAAAATATTTTATATGTTATTTTGAATTAATTTAACGAAGTATCATATGATTTTTAATTTTTTAAAAAAATTTATAAATTTGATCTATACATGAAAAGCTTTTTAATTTAACAATTAAATTTTTAAAAATTTGATATAGAACATTAATTATTAAGTAAAATAAATCTATCAAGACTTAATCTTGAAGTAAGTAAATTTTTTCTTCATTAAAAATGAAGATAATTTTACCAAAAAATAAAAAACAATTAAACAATAAAATAAAATATATAAAAATATATTAATGTATTTATTATATTAAATATAACAAGATAATTAAAATATAATTAATAATATATATTTTATAAAATTATATAAAGAAAAGAATGAAAAAAAATTTAGTGGGAGCAAGTGCCCCCACTATGATTAACTTAGATCCGTCATTGCATGTGGTTGTGTGGTGAAATGTTAGTCCTGTGTATCCTCTTCCTTTACTTTAGGTTCTACCTCTTCAAAAACAGGTTGTTGTTGTTGGGGTACATCGTTAATGACTTAAAAAAAATACCATCATTTCATCCTTTACTATATAGTGTCAATTTGGTAGTAAGTGGTTCACTCCAGTTTGACTAACAATGAAATAAAATTTGTTACCATTGTCTTTAGTGATATATTGCATTGTCCTTAATGATACACTGTATAGTCCAACTGTTTAGCAATTGAAGTTATCAATTTCTATTGACAATATTACCAAATCCAGTGTTTGAAATGCTTTGTACCTTGGAATTTTTTCCTTCCACGATTCACAATCGTGAACTGTAATCATTGACAGTTTGTGTTTAACAGTCTGAAACCAGAACGACCAGTTCTAAAACCAGAACGTTTCGTTCTGGTTGCACTTTTAGTAGTTCTAAAACCAGAACGTTTCGTTCTGGTTGCACTTTTAGTGTGTTAATTTTGCACCTGGAACGGACCATTCCAGATGCAAAATTAACACACCAAGAGTGCACCCAGAATGGCCCGTTCTGGTTTCAGAACGGGCCGTTCTGGTTCCAGGTGTTTTCAAAAAATTGGCATCCACGTAGCATCCACCTATGCATCTACGTGGCATCCACGTACATGTCAAGTGACCAATAATTAACTCCGTTTAAATAATTTAGACAGAAATCCTAAATTGCAACCAATTAATTTAGTAGGGACTAAATTGAAACCAAAATTAAAAATAAAACTAAATTAAAATAAATAATTATTATAAGGGATCAAAATAAGGGGGGTGTATTGGTTTAGGATTTCGTAGGATTTATATAAAAGAAATGGAAATACAAGTCTTGAAGCCTACATTGATGTTGACTATGTAGGATCAATTATTGATAGGAGATCTACTACGGGATATTGCACATTTCTTGGGGGAAACTTAGTAACATGGAGAAGTAAAAAGCAAAATGTTGCTAGATCTAGTGCTGAATCTGAATTTCGGGGTATGACACAAGGTATTTGTGAACTACTATGGTTGAAAATTATCCTAGAAGACTTGAAGATTACATGGGATGGACCAATGAAACTCTATTGTGATAATAAGTCAGCAATCAACATAGCTCATAATCCTGTTCAACATGATCGAACCAAACACATTGAAGTGGATAGGCATTTTATCAAAGAAAAGCTTGATAGTGGTTTGATTTGTACTCCATATGTACCTTCACAAAGACAACTTGCAGATATTCTTACTAAAGGCTTGCGCTGTCCAGATTTTGAGAGAATAATATGCAAGATTTGAACATGAACTCTATGGGTGTAATAAGGTGGTGTTACCTGATGCATGGATTCTGAAAATTTGTTGTACCATTGACCATCTTACTTTGTGATGTGAGATTATAATTTCACTTTGCTCAGCAGTATCATGCTTTTTTCTAATTTTAATTTGTTCTGCAAGTGTTGTAGCTTCTTTTGTTTAAGGACAATTACAATCATGTATTGTAAGTTGTTTCCTTGTTATGCATCCGCATCATGAAGTTGTAGATTGTGTTGTGGAGTTAGTTTGTCCCCTTTGTAAGATTTGATTTCATGCAGGAGTTTTATCATCACCAGTTAAATTCTGGTATCTCCGAACTCCCTCGAATTTTTGGGATGACTGCATCTCCAATTAAGTCAAAAGGTATCAAGAGAAAGCCTATGATCCTTGCATTTCTAGCTTTTTTTTCTTTCCTAATGTTGAATTCCCTTTTTCTTCTATTCTTTTTTTAATCCAGTTGGAAATTCTGAATCATCCTGGTCAGATAATATTCGGAAACTAATGACTCTAATGCATTCAAAGGTTATTTATTTTTTTATTTTCTCCCTCTTCTGTACATATTTTTTCTTGATTTTTTTTTCCTGTTCATGTTGTGTTGCTTGAGTGTTGTCTGCTATCTTCTTGGTACAATATTATAAACCTTGGAATAATTACCATATGTAGATTCTTTATGGCAAGAATTATCAAAAGGATTTAATTTATATTAATTTATGGGATATCTTGAGACTTTGTAGGTATTTCTAGCAGTTATTATCTTAGTTTTTAAGAAACAGCTGTGACTGTTCAAGACTCCTAGAGGTTGTCGAACCTATACCTATGCTAGAAAGTTATTTCTTTATTTACTTGAAGAAATGAGATAATATGTTAGACTAATATACTCTCATGTGATTAATACTCTTTTGTGTTGGTGTGCAAACCATTTTGTCTTGCTATGTATTATTTATTTGACAAAATTTTGAAATGAAGGTATATACATGTGTAAGTGAAGCTGTCATCAAAGAGTTCATACCAACATCAACACCAAAATTCAAGTTTTACAGGGACAATGGAATTCAATTTGTATTATTTGAAGAATTAGCATCTAAACTCAAGATGTTAAAAGAGCAGGTGTGTACATTTAAAGATATTAGGTTTTGATATATGCTCTGAAACAATTAAGGAAAAGAAAAATTTCCCATGTGTTGAAAGTGGAAATATGAGAATGCCCCTTAGTCATTTGTTTTATTGAGTGACAAGTTGTGTCTGAATCAATTCCAATCGCAAATCCTATCATCTTCCTGTATTTAATTATTAGTCAGAATCACAGTTTCATTTATATTGCTACTTTATAAGTTGTGTATTTTTGTCAGAGTTTATTATTTCTTTTGAGGCTATTAACAATGGATATTCTTTTTCTCAGCATGAATTCACACTAAGAAGTTCAGATTTCACTAAATCAGCTGCCGAATCTGCACAAAAAAGAATAACAAAGAGTTTTTTTGCTTTAATTTTTTGCCTGGATGAGCTTGGTGTTTGGTTGGCTTTGAAGGTTCTCGCCTTTCTCTTGCAAAAACTTGTTGAATCTCATATCTCTTAAAGGTTTCATAAATCATAATTGACTACTATTGCCTGTTTATGTAACAGGCTGCAGAGTCTTTATCTACCAATGAATTTGACTCATTTTCGTGGGGACACTCTGGGGATAGAGTTGTTAAAAACTTTATTTTGGCTTGTGTGCATACATTGAAAGGTTACTTACGATGTGGTAATGATTCTACCACCATTGAGAGAATCTGTGAAATTTTAAATATGTATATTTCTCTTGCATTAATTAATTTTAACACAATGTTTTCTCTTCTTACTCAGATCCTGAATGGTCTATTGGTGACAATATTAAATCCGATGTGGAGTTGGGGCTGTTAACCTCCAAAGTTTGTTGTCTTATTGACTCTCTACTCGAGTACAGGTTATCATCATGGATTGGTTTCTCTCTAAATATTTCAAATGTGGTTATGAAATCATGTAATGTGGGTTATTATTATGGATGTTCCGGCTTTTACTCTCCTTGTTCTTATTAGACTGTTGGACGAGTAAATGCCTTTATGGTTCACTTGGTCATTTGATGTTGTTAAAAGAGAGAAATAGGGAACTCATTTTCTGATTATGCTTAAGTGTATTATTACCACTCAGCAAAATGATCTTATTTATAATGATAGTGGTTACAAAGATAATAAATGACATCAACTATTTCCAAGACAACAATTAAAAAAACCACAACTTCCTAAGATACATTGAACAAAGAAACTAGGAAGAGTAACAATCATTAAATACATATTTCCAACAGTATAGCTATTTTTTTTAAATTACAATTTCAAAAACATTGGTATCCCTACTTTAAATTAGTGACGAAATAACTTTGTATTTATGTAATGTATCACACAACATAACATAACAACCTTATACCGGAGCGAGGAGACAAGCGAGCATAGCAGGGTGGTCTCTGTCACTCCAACTCCAACCACAGACCCAATTCAGTAAAAGCTTGTTCCGATGAGGATGGAATCTGCACTTACAGCTTCTAACTGGAACCGTTCTTTGATTCGAATTCACAACACTAAGCCACGCTTCTGTGCCACTCGCCCCACAGCAATACGCTGCTCCATCAACTCCTATCGTTTGTCCAACCTCACCCCTTCTCAGCTTCAGAGCCTCAAGAGCCGACCCCGAATCGATTTCTCTTCCATTTTCAGTGTGGTGTGTAATGGGTTTTCATATTTCTCTTCCATTTTCAGTGTGGTGTGTAATGGGTTTTCATATTTCTCTTTGTTTTCGAATGGGTCACTCTCAAAATCCTTCCTTTTCTTTCCCCCTTTCAGGTCAACCCCATTGTCGATGATGTTCACAAAAGAGGGGATGCTGCAGTCAAAGAGTTGGTTTCTTCTTTGAAATCGTCTTATGAATGATCTTGTTATTGTTACATTCACACCTATTTAATATGTGACTTCATCTTTGTGTTTTGTAGATACACTTCGAAGTTTGATAAAGTTGAATTGGATAAGATAGTTGAGGTTGTTTCGGACCTCCCTGACCCCGTGGTATGTTTGTTTGGATATTCACACTTAGTATATAATGTTTTTATTTTGTTGTTGATAATGTGATGTGCCTTTATTATGATTCATTTTTTATTGTTGTTTTATGTGCCTTTTGCTTTGCAGCTTGATCCAGCTGTTAAGGAAGCTTTTGATGTCGCCTACGACAATATTTATGCGTTTCATGCTGCTCAGAAGTCACCTGACAAAAGTGTTGAGAACATGAAAGTATGTCAATGTTGATTCTTGCTTCTAGGATGGCTAGGTTGGATGCAAAAACCAGGGGCTTAATGATTCAAGGCTGAATTGATACTTAGCATAAACTTATTCTTTTGCATTATTAAGCAAAGTTTGAAATGTTGAATGTCAAGATGTGAGTAATATAGCTAGGAACGGTTAAATGATACTCGAAAGATCAAAATGGTTAGATTATCTTTTTCAGTTGTGATTATGTACTTTTCTGTCCTTGGTTAGTCTCTATCTTTTGAATTATTCATTCATATTTGGCTATCATGCCTACATGTTTGTTTGTTCTTGGGTTCTTAGTTTTACCCAATTTATGCGAATCTGGAGTTTTCTGAAAATGTCAGGGAGTCCAATGCAAGAGAGTTGCAAGAAGTATTAACTCCGTGGGTCTTTATGTTCCAGGGGGAACTGCTGTATTACCTTCAACTGCTTTGATGCTTGCAGTTGTAAGTTGAATAGATATTTCAGTACCTCTTATGTCTTTCAATGTTCTATAAGTTTGATATTGTATGTTGATATTTATCTTCCAGATTTAGCTGATGATTGATTATTTTGTATTCTAGCCTGCACAAATTGCAGGATGTAAAACTATTGTTCTTGCAAATCCTCCAACACAGGAGGGCACTACATGCAAGGTATTTATTTATTTTGTATGAAAATTGTAGTTGTGATGTTTTTCTTGTTCTGACCAATTTTTCTTTTACAGGAAGTACTTTACTGTGCAAAGAAGGCTGGGGTGACTCACATTCTCAAAGCTGGGGGAGCACAGGTTTGAATCATGATAATATAATATAATCTTTATCTAGTTTTGTAATCTGAATCTAGTGTTCTTATGTTTATTTTTATTCTAATTCTAATATATTTGTATCATTCATTATATATTAACCCGTGATTAATATGGAATTTCTCTCCATTGTAGGCCATATCTGCTATGGCTTGGGGAACAGAAACTTGTCCAAAGGTGGGTAACTTAACTTCTTATTTATCTCGTTTTTATTGTTTGCTTCTCTTTTGATAGTTAATGGATTCAGCTTTATCGCTTCTTATTATTTACAAGGTCAGCCCAAGCATTAGGCAAACAAAGCCCTTGCTTTAGGCCTCCTTAAAAAAAATTATTTTACATCAATATTTATACAATTTTTTTCAAGGCCTATAACTCAAAATCACTTTTTGTATTCTTAAAAGGATCCTCTAGCAGGCCCATCTCTAAAAAATATACAAATATAATTATGTTTTCAAGGCCCATCTCTAAAACATTTTTATTTAAAAGATATTATTTTTAATTTTTTAAAAAATCTCACTTTAAGATTAATTTAACGCCTTGTAATGCACTGGACCAGTCTTGATTATTTATTTTCTTGTATTAGTAATTTAGCATATCATATTCTAATAGCATTAGATATAGTGAAAATCATTCCTTGATAGATTATCAAACTTATCCTCACACCTTAAATAGATTATGTGATCTTGTGACCGAACTGTACTTAAGATGCAACTTCAACAAAAACTTCATACTTATTTGATTTTTTTTTTTTCTATTTTAATTGTGAATTTGTGATGAAACTTACAGGTTGAAAAGATTTTTGGCCCTGGAAACCAATATGTCACAGCTGCAAAAATGATACTTCAAGTAAGCATGTTTATATTTTACATTAAATTTATGCACCTGTATAAACTATACATTTCATTTGTTGAATCTGAAATCTTCATATCTTTACTTATTGAAAATCTTCTGCAGAACAGTGAAGCCATGATTTCAATTGACATGCCAGCTGGTCCATCTGAAGTTTTGGTCATCGCAGACAAGCATGCAATTCCTTCTCATGTAGCTGCTGATTTGCTTTCCCAGGTTTAATAAGTTTTAAAATTCTCCCATTTGCTTTACAAAGATTATTCACCAATTCTCATTCATTACGAAATATGGTAATCCTAATTCAATATTGGATGAATTCATAATATGTGCTGCATGTAAGAAATAAGAATAAGAATTAGTTGAAGATCAATCACTAATATATGGATAGCAACCAAATTCATGAACTGAGGAGATGGAGTATAGAAGCATTTTTTTGTTTATTTTGAATGAGTATGATTCAGAGTTCTCTTAGTTGACATTGCACAAACAAATACACTAGAGAACCAACCATAACACCTTAATTCAATTAAGGCACAAAATCTGCCAAAACAAGCCCAAATATTTTATCTCAAAAGACAGAACCTCTTTAAACTAAGACCCAAAACCTGCCAAAGATTCAGACATTGACTAGAAACAGTATTGCAGACAGTGTCCAGCATATAGTTTCAAACGGACATGCTTCACCATCATTGTGGTTGATAAATAGTCCCTTTTATTCTACCTGCATACTTCAAAGATGATTTCTAACCGTTTTGGCTTCTTGTACACCACTGATGTCTATGCACCTAATTTATGATTTTCAGGCTGAGCATGGCCCAGATAGTCAGGTTGTTCTTGTGATTGCAGGAGATGGTGTGGATCTGAATGCAATACAGGAGGAACTCAGCAAGCAGTGCCAGAGTCTTCCAAGAGGCGAATTTGCCTCTAAAGCACTTGGCCACAGTTTTATTGTGTATGCACGTGATATGCTTGAGGTCAGTCCTGTTAGCTAAGTTTGTGTTTTCACTTGCTAAAAGCAGAGCTAAGGGATCAGGATTAAGGTACAGAGAGAGAGGAGCAATTTCGTTGGAATAACTAGAATAGAACAGACTGTTAGTGTTAGGCTTCTGTGCCTTTATTTATACTTTGCACAGCAAGTATGACGTGCCATAACATAGATTGTTCTTGTGCCTAGGTGTGTTAATAAGCTTATTTTAAGAGAAAATCAAGAGAAGAATAGGAATAGGAAAAATAGGCCCACCCCAAAAATTTAACATAGCATAAGAGGCACCTGTATGAATAACTATTCCCCGACATTTATGCCACATGAAGTGTCAAGATTATCTCGTGATATGTTAGAATTCACAACTTTTATTAGAAGAATTTAAAATTTAGCCTTCTGTTATATCTTTATTTTTTTTATTTTTTAATCAATTAGTAATTTATTTTAAGCCCTAATTCTCTTATTACTTGTTTAATCTCAATTCACCTAACATCTTTATTGGAGTTTAACAAGTAAAAGTTACTTTGCATCTTTCAGGCCATCACTTTCTCAAACTTATATGCACCCGAGCATCTAATTATCAACGTGAAGGATGCAGAGAAGTGGGAGAGTTTCATTGAGAATGCAGGTGCGCCTATGGATTTTCGTTGTTGTGTTGCTCCTTTTTTATTTTTTATTTTTTAAATAAAGGGTTTGGAAGAGTGGGGATGGGCTCGTGTTTTGTCAAAGATACTTGTGTCTTCAATCTTAGAGAATCCAATTCCTTTTTAATATCATTTTGTGTCCTTGTTGGCATGGAAATTCCAGAATCGTAGATCTAAATGTCTGTCACTGCCTCTACAGGTTCTGTGTTTTTAGGGCCTTGGACACCTGAGAGTGTTGGTGATTATGCAAGTGGGACAAACCATGTCCTTCCTACTTATGGTTATGCAAGAATGTACGGTGGCGTGTCATTGGACTCCTTCTTGAAGTACATAACTGTGCAGTCTCTCACAGAGGAAGGTCTAAGAAAACTTGGGCCATATGTAGCAACCATGGCTGAAGTTGAAGGCCTTGAAGCCCACAAACGAGCAGTTACCTTGAGACTTCAGGAGATAGAGGCCAAGCAGGTTTCAAGATGAGATTATGCTTCAATCTGTTGTTCTTTTTATCACTTGCAAGCTACTGGCTCTTAGTTTATGCCAAGTATATGGCCATTTGCTTGATGAGATTACCTAGATTTAGGTGGCATTAGTTGCTAGAAGTTGTCATTTCAAGTTTATGTAACAATAGCTGGATTCATATTTTGCAATAACAAACAAATACAAGTGCCTAATGTGTTGGTGATCTTCGGTTTTGATTAATCAATAATGCATCCTATGCATTTGCTGGAATGTACCCTTTTTTGTTTTATCCTCTGATAAGTTTGCTCGACTCTTCATTTTCTCAATGGTCAATAAGTATTTGCAAAGAGGAATATCTCGGTATATGTATATCAAAAGAATATTAATTTCATAACCAAAGGTATTGAGAAACCTTGTAAAGACAGAAACATGTATGCAAAGAGTGAAGTGAAATCTTGAAAGTTTTGTTAACGAGCATCTTCAACATATAGGTTGAGAAGAGAAATATTCTGATACCAGTTATTAGATGTTTTCATTACATCAAAATTAGAAATTAAATCGCTTTATATTTTTAAGGAAATGAATAGTATAAATTATTTATTAGAAAATAAATGTTATATTAAGATAAAAATATAATTTAATGTGATTTTTAAGTAATTAAAAGCATTTAGTATTAAGTTATTTGATCACATATTGTATGACTCACGATTAAGATCCTTTTAATTAATAATATTGTTTTATCTAATATTTTATTTTTATATCATTAAATATTATATTAAAACATTTGTGAATAATTATTTTAAAATTGAAAAGGGGGTAATCTACTTGTAAGTGTTCACTTTCAACTGAACCAACCATTATTTTTGAGGAACTTGGTTAGATTTTGTTGATCGGGCAGCTAAATTATGTACATCGAGTATATCTAACTTTTCACATCCAACGAATTTCGGTAAGTCTGAAAAACTCCGCTAGAAAAAGGGAAAAGAAAAGGAAAGGAAATATGAAATTTAAGTTTGGCATAGATGATAAGAACTTAAAACGAGTGCAATACTATATAAAAGAAAAAGCTTTACGGCAACAAATTTTAAGTGGTGCCATTCAAGACTTCAAAATGCGGATCCAATTTCTCTCTCTCTAACATTTCACACATGCAAAGCACTAGATCGTTAAAAGATATTGGAATGATTTGCATATAACAATAAACTTGTTTGTCTAAAAACATGTTTAGATCCGAGTTTAAAAGTGTTTCTAAGAAAATTTTTTTATTGAAAAAAGTTTTGTATTTTCAATAAAAAAAATTTTTCAAAAACTCTTTCAAACTTATATCCAAACAGTAACTAAGTTTACGAAAGCATACTTCATAAAGGATAACTAGCAGAAAATAAAATAGAGAAAGTAAAATGGGAGAATATATTATCTCAGTTCTGGTGTTTTAGATTATACAAGACCATCCTCAAACTAAGGGAAAAAAAATCTACGCTTGAAGGATGCGGCTACTTGCTCTTGAATTAAATATATAACAGTTGGTGTATATGGCTAGAAGTTCAGGAATCACCCATATAAAATCAATGATACATTAGTGATGTTTCACCCTAGATTTTCTCTATTCTATTCATGTAAGAATGGAATCAATGGATAATTCTATATAAAGAGAAATGAATGACTTGTTTTTTTCCACACAATTTCGTTTATTTTTTTGCGAGGTCGGAAAATGGGGAACCCCTGCTAGGATGATGTATCTTGTATGAGCTTGAAACAGATCCTATCAAATTAAAAATTAGAAGAACCTATAAGAAGAGATTTGTAACAGAAAGAAACAATACCCCTCTTCATTGAACTCCCAAGTGGAAAGTCCAAAATCCCAGTGCAGGAAAACTTGACTTTGTTACCCAACAAACATGCAAGTCTACTAATTCTGGAGCATGCTGTAGCCATTGCTCTTAAAGCAACGCATCTGGTTGCAACCAAGTTCATTAGATGGCCTGATGGCCATAATCATAAAACGCTTTGCCTCAGCTACACATAGATTAAACTGCGTAAGAAGCAACCTGAGAAAGCTTACATACAAATGATTTATGCTTGATAGGAATGTACATCAATTATTTGTTTCCAGTGTCATCTCAGAGGGCTAACAACCCAGCCTGTAATTGGGTTCTGCCTGCGAAATTTCAACTTCCCATGTCCGCCACTTTGCAACCGCTCGAGCACCGCATACGTGATTGAATCTGGAGTCAATCCTTGCTGCTTAAGTTTTGCATAAAGGTCCACTGCCTCAGCTGTTCTTCCACACCTTTCAAGACAGTCAAGCAAAATATTATACGTGATCAAGTTAGGAGTGCATTCTTCAGAAAGCATTTCATCAAACAACCTGCACGCCATTTCAACTTTATCCGTCTTGCCAAAGCACTCAATAAGTGTACTATAAGTCACAACATCTGGATTTAATCCTTTCTCTTGCATCTCTTTAAATCTCATGTGAGCTTCATCAACGTCCCCATTCTTTCCAAGGCAATTGATCAGTGAGTTATAGGAAATGACATCAGGCTTACAATCGCTATTCTCTAGTTCTTCAAAAATTTTAACAGCAATGTCTACTCTTCCAGCCCTGCCAAAGCTGGATATCAAAATATTGTATGTAAATATGTCTGGTGGGGGACCATCTTGTTTCATCTTTTCATAAAGATCATGAATGTGTGATATTTGTTTCAACCTGCCCAGAGCTGTGAATACTGTATTATACATGATAGTATCGGTGGTTATACCCTTTTCATGAATTCTATTCAGAAGGTCTATAGCTTCTGTCATTTTACCAGCACTACATAAACTCTCCAACATGGACATGCAAGCATCTTTGTCACCCTTGTCATGAAAGGTCCACATATTGCAAAATAACCTATGTGCTTCAGAAGCATGACCCAGTTTGCTTAAAGTCCTAACAAAATATGCATATATCTGCTTATTCATATATTTCTTTGATATGTCCACAATATTGTCTAGCTTATTAAGCTTCCCTTCTGCAACCAGAAGATTCAAAATCACAGTGTATGTAAATTCATTAGGCTGACAATCATTCTCCACCATCTTTGAGAAAAGCAAGATGGTCTTGTCAACCATTCGCCCCCTGGCAAGTGCCTCAATCATAGTATTATAAGCAATCAAATTAAGAGTACATCCCTTTGCTAACATTGCCTGAAAAAGTGATAGTGACTCATCAGTTTTGCCAGATTTCCCAGCCATTCTGATCATAATAGTGTAAGTGAACACATCAGGCTCACAATGCCTCCGCTTCATATCCTCAAAAACTTTATATGCTTTATCTAACTGCCAAAACAATGCATATACACAATAACTGTTAAACAGGATCAACAAAAGTAAAATGCACTTTACACAGCTCTTGTGAAACTCCATTAGTTGTTTATCAATCTATCCATACAAACCTGTTAGAGCCTGCATGGCAACATACCGATGCAATCTTGAGACAATAAAAACAGCATATAAAACTTAGGGTCTATATGAAAGACCTTATTTACAACTTATTTGGACTCGTATTCTGACATAAACACTTATGTAAGAGTTCAAAAGAGCTTATAAAGAAAACTAAGGGTGTCTTTGGATGGCTGTTTGAAGCACCTCAAATGCACATTCCCACTTTCCAAGGGAGTAAATGTAGAGGCAACACTCCCATGGCATTGGGTAACAGCCATTCACGCTTTGAGAAACTAGTTTCCAAACATACACTTATAATATAGGACAAAACTTAGTTGCAATACAGGTACTGTTGGTGTTGATCCTTAATTAGAATTTTACCTCAATAATATGCATTGATATTTAATGGTTCTGCATATTAATAAAGTGACATTTTAATTTTGATTGGAGAATAACACCAACAACACCTGTGTAATTAACACTTAAAATTGTTTATCCAAACATACCCTAAATTTAAAAATAAATAAAATTGAAATGCCCCATCAATACTAAACTAAATCCAACCCACCAAACCAAGCCAGGCACTTGCACTAAATAAGTAAACATTCCAGAAACACTTTCTAACACACTCTTTTAAACACAGACTACAAGTCACTTAGAGCAATCCAAACAATTGGAAAAACCAGAGAGAAAGGAGAAGGCATTACAGCTGCAAACCTTTTCATCCTTGGCCAAGGCATCCAAAAGCATGTTGTAACCAAAAATGTCCAACTTATACCCACGGCGGAGCATATCCAAGTATACCCGAAACGCGCTCTCGGAGTCGCGGGACCTCAAGTAGGCCTGGAGCAGGCACTTGAAGGTGTAAGCGTTGAGCCTGAGGTCCCACTTCTGGACGAGCTCAACGCAGCGGCGCAAGTCCTCGGTGGTGCCGAACAGGGAGACGAGGATGTTGACGGTGGAGATGGAGCCGAGGACGGCGTGCCGGAGCATGTGGTCGAGGAGGGAGCGGGCCTGGTCGAAGCGGTCGGGGCTGGTGGACTTGGAGAGGATGAGGAAGAGGCGGTTGTAGGTGAAGGACTCGTGGCGGAAGCTGGGGGAGAGGGAGGGGCAGAGGTGGAAGAATTTGAGGGCGAGGGAGGGGGTTTTTAGGGTTTTGAGGATTTCGGAGGCTTCGGAGGGCGTCAGGGAGAGGGAGAGGGAGTGGAGGTAGTCCGAGAGGTCGGAGAAGGGGTCGGAGAGGGAGGAGGGGGGAGGGGAGAGGAGGATTTGGCTGGCTTTGCAGATTAGGTCGCGCCGCGGGAGGAGGTACCCGCGGGAGTCCGAGGGGAGGGGCGGCGGCGGAGTCACCTCGGCCGCCAGGGACCGGCCCGTCGGAGTGGTGGAGGTGATCTTCGCGGTGTACTTTGTTGCCAAGTGGCGCCGGAGATGGAAGAGATGTGGCGGTGGCTTCATTTGTCTCTGGTGAAGTGAAGTTGTTGGGTTGGGTTAAGGGGACAATGTTGGGTTCTTCTTCCTCATGTAAGAAGCTCAATGTCGATGGCTTTGCTGGTTTTGCATGTTTTAAAAATACTTTTTATCTTGCTGTCAAAAAAATATATTTCAAAATCCTTTCGTTTTACAACATTTTTATACTATTGTTTATATTAATTCTATGTTACCACATTTGTTTTGTAAAATTCTGTCATGAAATTTCATAGATACATAAATTACTGAATTTATCCTTGTATATTATATTTTTGAATTCGTTTGGTGCAAAATGCGGCAGGTAGTGGTTCAGACTCTGAGGATTCAGTAGCCCAAACAGGTGGTGGATTTGAAGTGTAACTGTTTTAATATGAAGTCCACGACTCTGAACTATATATTATATACCTACAATAAGGGTATATGCAGTTAATGAGAACGAAATTGCTATATTCAAGACCCATGACCTAAGAAAGGAAATTATTGAAATACCAAGACGACTTCTATCCTGAATATATTTAACCATGGTCTTGGAGAGTTGGTGTCAAGGACGTAGACCTGGAATTCAAGTTGAGCCTTAGTCCTGATCCTTAACAGAATTCTTATGAGATATAGCATTAGCGTGCTTGGAAAATCCAAATCCCGTTTTTCAAAACATCATCCTCTCGCATTGAATTGTCGTTCAACGTAATAAAACAGTTAATCAAACACACCTGGAATCTACTTTTAGTCTTCAAAATCTAAAAAATAACTTCAAAAGATTAATGTAACAGAAAATATATGAATAACCCATTCAAAAGTATATTTCTTATTTTAGAATGGAGGTATAAGTTAAGCAACAACCACATGGGCCATGACTTACGTGCTTCATCGTCAAACAACCACCGCGGAGAAGAGAACGACAACGTCAGTATATGAAAAGCTCAGTATTTACAAGAGGGCGACAATGTGAGATCGTTATATGAAAAGCTCAGTATTTACAAACAGAAGGCAAACAACTTGGCTGAAATTTCTTTATTTTACAATAAAATTGAAATTATTTCGATCAAAATGTCAATCATGGGGTACACCCATTATTGTAAATGGCTGGAAAAATCACGTCTACTATGACTATCTATGTGCTGATAAAACATGGGAGTACAATGCTTCACATTTAAACAACATCGGTACAATAATCCCCTAATCTCTAGACCCAAACCTGATTGGACTATTTTCCAATAATTCACATCATGAATATAATTGGCTAAACCGGTCCATTAAACACAAAACTAATGGTTTAACAATAAATATAAATCATGCACACAGATCAGAGGCATCAAGAAAAAGACCCCTAATTACAAGGTTCAACGGCAGCCCGGTTCTCTTGCATTGGTTGAAACGATTTGTCTTCGTATGCATCCACGCCTAATCAAGCTTGACATTAGAATACAGAAGCGTGTCCCTTGTGAGCGGCATATTCAAGAGGTAACATATCTGCAATCAAACAAATAAGTATTATGCATCAATCTCAACAATATATATCCTCAATGGCATATATCATTAATGATGGATCCTAAAGGACCTATATACGTAATTGATTGTCCCATTTGTGTCATATTTTTCAATAAGAGACAATCAGCGCTAATTGAATACCATCAGGGACTTATTAATTTTAAAATCCTCGAATGTAATCCTTCGATTCCTTCGTAGAGAGAAACAGAGAGAAGGATTATCCAAAAGAAAAAAATTAACACTTTCTCTGATACTTGCACCCTTTGTCCAAACAGACGAATCTTTTAAATACTACATGAAACTACCGCTAGAATTTCATTCTTGAATAAGTTTTTAATTAGTTGCAAAGGAAAGCTTACAACCGTGCCCCTGCTCCAATCAAAATAAAGAGGGCAAAATTAAGTGAGAAACAGAAATTGATGAAGAAACTCTTTCAGGAAATGTCTTCCAATATTTAGCTAGGCCCTGATGACAGATATCTTAAAACCATACAGAAAAGGTGTTTCTTTTTGAATTTCCATTTGTTAACTAATTATATTATAATATTACTATTTACTAGTATAATTATTACACGCTATACTTACCCCCATAAGGGTTGAAACGAGCAATATAATTCCTGTTATCCAAGCAAGGGTTCTCCTAACCAGCACCACTTCTGGCAATGTTGCATTCACTGCATTTGTTTCCACCAACCATCGAGCAGTATGGTGAGGAGTAAAGATCACATCAAACTTCTTGCCCGACTCTTGAGTATTGGCCGGGTTACAGTAAATAATTCCAACAAATTGACCTGCTCAGCCATTGATCATTAGATTAAAAAAAGCAAATGAACCTTTCAGTTCAAGGAAGTTGACATCTTATGATCTGAAGAATGAATGATTAGCTAAGAGTTTGCTAGTTATTTGACTAGGTTTTCTATATTAAAGAAAATCTTTTCCAATATTGTAAGGCTTTAATTTAAAATCATAAAGGAATTATTTAAGCCTGACAAAATTGACCTTTGTATGCTTCTTGCAGTGAACTAAATATCTTTGTCAAAGTTACATATAGCAACTCAACTCCGTGCTGAGCAATACTTTCAGCTTCATATTGATCTTGCAAAACCTGCACCATATTAGTCAATAAGACAATTAAAACCCATGTATATAACATCAACAGTCAACACATATTGCAGATAAACCTGAACAAAAACATGTATTGAACTATTCCATATACTGAAGAATAAAATGGTAATGGTATGTGGATTTTCAGTGAATATTGGCTATGTTCGCACACTAAATAACAATAGTAATGCTCATTGTCTCCAGTATGCAATATTACGTTTGTTTTCTTTAAACATATACATAACAAAATAAATAAAAGAAACAATGGAATCAACACTCTTTTTGTCCAGGTACTGGAATTGGGGATTAAAGATTTACAGTGTGGGGAGACTCTACATGTAAATTGAGAAATATAATAATGAGTCTTTTTAGGTAAACTTCTCCAAAAGCCTAAAATTAAATTAGTTTCTCCAAAAACTAAAATTAACTTATGTATAAGTTAACTTATTAAAGCTCTCTTATGCTGACTTCTCAAAAAAACTTATTTTTACCTTATACAAAAGCTAATTTTAGCTTAGGAAGAAACTAATTTATTTTCCCTTCCTATTTTCTTCTCCTATAAGTGTTTTTTTTTTTTTAAGTTCACCCAAACAGAAATACATATAATACATGTGAATGGAGAAAAAAAAAATAAAGAAATGTTATTGACTCCAATATCATATAAACAATACTGTATATTCAAAAAACCGTTTCTTACAAACTTGCATTCATATACACCAATTATGTTGCAATGTAATCAAGAAAACAGAAACAAAAACCAAGTATTGAAAAAAATATATATATCACTTGACAAGACTTGGTATACCAAATTTCTCAGGTAGCATAGTTTAAGTTGAGAAAGAAGCCAGTTTTATCATTGTGGATCACTGAAAATGGAGAAAATCCTATAATTTGCTATATCATATAGCAGACAGTGGAAATTGCATGATGGTTCTTCCAAAAATTAAAAAGAAAAAAGGTAAAGAAAAATAACAAAGGAGCAATAAGAGTATGCATACCTTGATGCCATTGAAGCATCCTGTTAACAACTCAGCTGGACTGTTTGGACTCCGAGATAAATCATAATGCATTTCAATTGCTCTTTGGACATTTCGAGTGAGAGACATAAGACTTGCAATGAATTTCCTGTCTGCTTTCTGCAAACACAAACATGTAAACCTCCCAATCAGTCTTAACACATTCACATATAAATATTAAAATATACCTTAAAATCGTCATTATACCTTTGACATGTGAAGATTCACTGAAGCATCATTGGCCAATGGAATGGTAAGCACTCCATTTAATGGCTCAAAGGCATCGGTAGCATATGATCCACCAATCAAAGATGACTAAGAAAACAATGACAAAGTCATTTTTCCACATATAAATGATAATAAAATAATATGGAAATAACTGATAGGCATGTTTAATATAGATCAAAACTAACAAAATCACTAATTTCTTTGTCAGTCCAGTCTTCCAATTGCTCATCCAACGAAACCACAGAAACATCATTTTCATCTGCATAAATTTTTAAAAAGTGATAATAAAGAAAAAATAAAGCCGTACAAAATATTATGAAATCATATTGGCCGTGACTACTACCATTTTCCTGGTATTCTATTTCTTTCCAAAATGAATGTTTCAAAGCCTCACCTGGAAGTTGAATGCCAACTTTTTCTGAATCAAGAAAGTTTGTACTCCAAAATGAATTGCTAAACTTTGGATTATCCTGGACAATTTTTCCAAGACCTGCATTCATAATACAATACTATTATCTTTTTACGAAAAGGAGAACATTATCATTATAAAGAAATCACTTAATAAACTTAATCCTAGATCAGAGACCATTGATTCCATTCACTTCCAATAAAAACACAGCACGAGGCCTCTTGAATGGGTTAGGAATGAGAACCTCATTCAACTGCAAAAAGACAAGTTGTTATCATCAATCAAACCTATAATAAAAACATGATGTAAAATAAATATGTATTGAAAACAAACATCACTAATGAATTCAAGGACCTTGGATGCGCTAGCAGCTGAGAGGGTGGAAGGAGGTGCAAAACCAAGCAAGATTGAAACAGCAGCTCCAACATCCTGAAGCAACAATGAAGGTTGCTGCAAAGTGAAATAATACCACCCAGTGAGATCATTATTATTAATTTAACCACTACAAAATAATGCAGTAATCTTATTAATGAAACCAAGGGGAACATGGAAAAGATGAAAATGAAGAGAATATTAACCTTAATTCCAATAAAATCAATCACTCCCAAAATGAACAAAAGTAAAGAGAAAATCATAATCAAGCTTATAGTAATTTAAATTAAAAATTTGTCCTCAAATGCCATTTGAGAGAATTTAGTTACGACACTCATTCATAAGAATATAAACAAGAGAAGTAAAAACCTGTCTACTCCCTCGTTTTCATTACCCATTTTTTCATCCTCACATGCACCATTTTCTTTCCTCACCATTTCTTATCAACAAACAATGTCTCTGGAACAATAAATCTATTTAAAAAAAAAACTGGTCTAATTGATAATGTTTCAGATGGGTTTTGCCAGTCAAAATTTCTTAAAAGGCTCTTTATTCAAATTCCTTATCCTTTGGGGGATATGACATTGAGAAAAACGCTATCTATTCATACAACAAGGGCATCTTTGATGCCAGTGTAATGAGAAAATCCAGCTCATTTATGTATGGCATGACAATGTTTTCTTGTTTTGAATTTAATATGACAGTTAAGAAATTTTAAACTGCAATATATATACATATATGTGTGTGCGTGTGTGTAATTTGAAAGAAAATTGCTTTAAAAGTAGTGATGCCCTTTGCAGTTAATTTGTAAAAACAATTTGTGGGTAGTTAAGATTTCTCATTTGGGCACCACTACACACATGTAAGTTCACAAAAATTGGATAAAATTAAGGGGCTTTGTCCATTTTTTCAATCTATCCCTCATAGTTCTGTGGATTTACTTCTCCTTGTTTGTTTTCCAAATTTGCATTAACGTATCTGCTATTTCTCTTCTACAAACTGCTAGCACATCCTTTAGAACAGAGAATTTACACAGGTTGATAGTAAGTTACAAATCAATGCTGCTATTCAAAGAATCAAAGCCCAAAAAGAATTCCGATTTCCATCTCTTTTTAAGCAATTTCACAGACCTATAACCAGGTCTACTTTAGCATTCCACTAACCTACTTTATTACCTTTGAATTTGATACTACCAATTAAAAACACAACTTCTCCTGCAAGCAGAAACTAGCAATGAAACACAGAACTCTGTCTGCTAAATAATGTGATAATCCAACCAAGTTTAAAGGAAGATATCTTTACAGAAAATATTTTATTTGCGGACTATATTTTTATTTTTATTTTTATTTTATTTTGAAGACGGGTTTGTTTCATGGATAAAAATAAATAATAATGGTAAATAAACTAACGCCATAGCATCTGAGCTCACCAAATGAAAAAAAAAAATCCAGGGCTGAAATTTTGCAACTCAATTCTCACATCACATCTATTGAAAGTTCTTATTCATTCGACAAGTGTCACTTCCCTAGAGACATTTCCAACACTAACGACAAGGCAGAAGGCTCATGTTACATGATTTACCCTTAAGATTCCAAAATGGATACACTTTTAATTTGTTTGCACCTAAAGCTTCGAAATCAACTCAAACCGAAGGTTCGATACATGCAAATTCAAACAAGGAAACGAAATTCACATCGATCAGCGAGTTGAATTGGAAGAGAACACATAATAATACAGAAACTAGACAAAAATAAAAGAATCCCCACCTCATCGCTGAATGATCTAGCGCGAAGGAATTGATTACTGGAGCTATCGACGAAGAAGACGGAACCCGAAGCCTCACCCTGCAACAAAACACACAACCGAATCAAACAAAGAGAAAATCGTTAGATCGAAATCGCCATCAAATGCGTACAGGCTCGGAAGATTGAAGAGAAGACTGAGAAAGAGAAACCAGAAACGAACCCTAATTTGAGGAGAGAAGAAAGAGACAATGAGGAGCAGGCTCCAAATGACGGAAACGCGAAACTCCATCGCAGAGAGAGAGATCTGGAGGTTTCACTTCAGCAATGTGCTACGTTATTTCTCGCTAGAAAACGAAACAATCGTATTCTGACTTCCGAAGCCAGAGGCTCGTTTGGGCTTTTTACATCTCTTGGGTCATCGGATGATTATGTTGCAGGCCCAATAAGACCATGGCGTTACTGGGCCCCGGAATCCAGTCAAGATAGCTTCTTGAGGTTTTTTTTCCTTATTTAATTTGATTTTTATGTGTTATAATTATTTATAAATTAAATATTAATATATTAAAACAAATTATTTGTTATAAATTTAAAATATAATTTATATATTTTAAAATTATTTATTTATATCTGTACAAAAAATATTTATTTATTTATGTAAATTTTAAATGTAATTTATATTTTCAAACATGGTATTTATTCATATATAATTTA